AGCGAGCTTCGAGCAGAAATCTGGCTTCGCGGCCGTACAATGGCCGTGTTGTGCAGCCGTGCCCCTGGCAACACCGGCGTTGTGTCTGTCCATTGTGTCTGACGAAAAATCGCGTTGACTGCACAAAAAGACAATACAACAAAATGCAAACGAGCAGCACCCAAGTTCCAGTAGTTCAACCATCTTCGTACTAAAATCTTCGCCGGTAGACGTCTACACTACTCGCCGGCGAGAAGGCTGGACTGTCAATCCCGGGCTCTCCGTTTCTTATTGTTTTTCGATTCACTTTATATCCGCGGAACAAAAAAGGAAGAGAGATAGAGAGAGAAACAGACAGGTGCGCAGAACACGAGACACGTCTACTTCGGTAGATGCGACGGCCATCTGGGTCTAGAAGACACTGGGGTGGCCAGGGGCAGCTAGGTTGCCAACATACGATATTAGGCTGACGGGTTCTCGTGGTGCGGAACGGTTCTCATGGTGCGGCACCTAGAGCGGGTTTGGCCCGCAAGCCTCAAACGGCCACCTCTTCAACCCGCTTGAACTCCTCCCGTCGAAGGATAACTCCAATGATGAGTTTGACGTCATCAGTTAGAGGGATTGAAAGCCCAGACCTAGACAATGCAATTCTGTGCTTGTCTTGCCCCCGCCAATGTGAGCCCCGCCGGCTGAAGCTCCCGCTTTTTCCATACGCGCACCAGCACACAGCTATGGATTTGCCTGCACCAGGCATGGTGGGATACAATGGTGGCAACCCCTCGGCTTGCTACTACCACCTAATGCAATATGACCAATCAACGATCTTTCATAGGTCCTTGAAGACTCAAAAGGATTTTCCTAACCAAGTGTGCAAGCGACATCGGGCAGCAGCAAGAGAATCTCAATTTTATCATGGGACAACGCTACACGTTTCCGTGCCTCCAGGCTACATTGTTCAGACTTCCCCTTCAACACTCCGCTTTTCCGCGGCATTGAACTAACCCTCGATGTTCCACCACGAATGCCTTATTCCGTAAGAGGCGGAGAGATAGCGCCGCCCTAGACCGATTTTAAAAAGGTCGATTGCTCCACAACTAGGCCTAGACCGATTTTAAAAAGATCGATTGCTCCACAACCTAGCGTTGTGCCAACACCAAAAAGGATGTGTTCGGAAACATCTCGTCGAGGGCTTTCTGCAGCAGTATCGGGCTCCTTCCGCGCCCCATTGGTCATGTGGTCATGTAGCAATTGAGCTTTGAAGTCGGTCTAGGGAGGGCGCAATCTCTCCGCCTCATACGGTATATAGCGTAGATGACACAAGATACCACACACCCTGGACTGAATTTCAAAGCTCGGATACTCCACAGTCGAAAGAGTGGCGGCGCCGAAAATTGTGGCGTTGCAACCGCCTCGTCGAGATCTTCCGAAAACGTATATGTTGCTGTTGGCATCCTCTTCATCGTGGATTAGTGGAGCGTCTAAAAACGGGCAGTATCTTGTGTCACCTAAGGCTGCAATCTGCGTGAAGTCTATGATTGCATCTGTCGCGCTCGCCGAGGGTCGGTTCAATGTTGTTTCTGACTCGCACGCGAGAATGGCATACTGGCTACCGTTGTCTTCAGATATGTGGGGTCTGCAGCAAAGCCGGCCGGCTCTTCAAGCACGCCTTCCGCCAAAAGCTACAGAAATAAATGTACTTTCTGACCAAACCTATCGACCGCACGTCATGCGTTGTTCAAAACACAATGAACACGGACTCCATCGAGTTGTGGGAAATCCTGCCTCCCTTCTCCGATTCCACTCTATGCATACATTGGTCGCGTGTGCACCGATAGTGGAAACAGCGTGGACGTGCGCGACGAGTTCGTTAGTATTCATACGAGTCGCCCGTCAGCTGGAGCGAGTGATCATCGTCAACGTCAGCCGGGCCAACCTGATATAATATGTTCAAGCACGTCTTCGTGTGGTTTGATGAGGCACGTTCACCGTACAGGAACCAAGCTTGTTGGCGAATGAAACGGTAATCCTGCACATTTATGCTGCTGACATCCAGAACAGAAGTGTTGTATAGATAGAGCTAGCGTGCTCTCTGGCAGCAACCCCGTCGAGAATACCATCCCGATACCCCAACCATGTCGCCAATCAGCGCCATGAGAGAAGACAAAGTGGGAGTGAGCTTCATAAAGCCTAGCACAGCATGCACAGACGCGCCGCACTATCATCAGGAATTGAATTGGGAAGGCTGAGGAACAAAGTTTCAACCAAAGTCACCGTCTTCGGTACTGCACCTATGCATCACCCCCGCCTTCCTCCCCTGTTCCTGACTCGGAGGCCTTCCGTTGGCGTTTAGACGGCTCTCTTGTAGGACTGACAATGGAATATGAAGAAATTGACGTAGAGGCGAGGACCAAAAACACGGCGGGCGGAGTAAATCGACAGGCGAATGTACAAATGAAATCAAGCTACATACAACACCATCGGTTGACAGATTGTGCCGAGAGCTTCGATGGACATGTCTCATCGATGTCGAGAAAGCAGAAGCCCAGGGGTAGCCCATGGTTCATCTCGTAAATGGGAATACCCCATGGTACACGATGGAAGGGAAGAAGATCGCCATCGCCGGGTTTCGAACCTCGTTTTTCATTGAAAACCATCGAACGCGCAACGCGTACCGGCTGATCAAGGACTACATGTACGCGTCAGTAATAGCACGGCAACAAACGCCAGCAACAGTGGAGCCTGCAGATGCCCCTGAGTACATGTGTGTGCGATGCGACACACAGGTAGTGACGGCCAGAGACGAGCACGGGCAACAGCAATCGCACCCGACACCCACTGGGGTATGCAAAGACGAAATGTATATAGCTTTGCACAGCTACGGCAGGTGCCGATCGTGTGCCAATGTGTGCTTCGTGCGTGTGTCCCCGAATCTTAACGCATCCCCGACGAAAATAAGGGCGTTTTGGGGTTGTTCTCGCCCTTTGGTTTGGAGGATAATTTCCCTGATTTCTTGTCACAGCAGCATCACCATTTTTTTTTTCTTTGTCTTCACTTCAAATCAGCGCTTACAGCACTATAGTACCGTTTACTCCAACCCGTGGTCACACAGAAGCGCCCCTCTCTACCCTCCCCTCCTGCGGTACTTTGCCTTCAATTTTTAATGCGAGAAAAGTTCAGCACTAACTTTCTCCCCTCTGTGTACACACGAACTAGCGCTATCCACTAGGCCAGAAGCGGAAGCGAGAGAAAAATTCACTTTGCAAGAAAAGCTCGCTTACCCCGGGATTGGAACCCCAGACCTGACCTCTGGAAGGTTTCGAGGATACCAACTAGACTAGACCACCGGGGCGACCGGCTCACCATGCACCGACATCCAACAATCAAACACGCGGAATCGCCTCTATACTGCTGTACCCATGCATCGCTTGAGAATGCCACCCGTTCCAAGGTCACCGTTCCACAGTCGTACAGGACATCATCTCATCAAGATAAGGGGAGAGGAACACACCACAGTGCGGGGAGCTCGTTCTCGATCTGGCAGAGAGTGGTGTACCTCGCCACAGCGTCTGTGTGGTCGCCAGAGGCCAGGGTTGTTTACAGGACATGCGGGTTTGCGGAGACGGATGTTCATGACCGTTTGAAAGCACGAATACCTCACCAATCGGACAATGTGACAGGAATGTTCTGTTTTGCGGCGGCTCTCCTCTCCTGGTGGTGATCTGCTTCGGGTGCGCCTCGCTCTTTCTCCGAATCCTGAGCGCGTAGATTGGGCACGCCTTCCTTTTCCCAAATTATGTTTCGTCAGGCCGCGGGAGCGTCCACCTCCGCCAATCAGCGCCCTCCATACTCGCTCCTCGCTCGCCGTTCGCCGTTGGATACCCCGCATGAGATTTGCTTGCCTTCGTTTCTAGTTTCCATTTTTTGGTGTTGACACCGTTGACACCGTTCACCCAAAGCCCCGAACCAACTTAACGATGCCCAGCAGGCATTGAAGCAACCCTCTTTGGTGGTGGCGGGTGACGGAATGGGTCTGACACTCTCTGTTTCACTTGAGAAACAGAGTACAGTACCTTATATGGTTCCTTGCTGCTGTACATAGCATGTACTAAGTGAACAGGTGGCATTTGTTTTTCGCTGAAGGACTGACTCTCTCTGGAGCTCTCGAGATACATGGGGAGCCGAACGCCCTGCGCACAAGCGTGGGGGGTTCACACTCATTCCACAGCTGTCACGGAGGGTGTGCAAAGAGGAAGAAAACTTGCTTGTTGTGTGGAACCCGGATGTGACTTACTGAAAAAGGTGAAGACCGAAGGGATGGAGATGAGCCTAGGAAGGTGCGGCCAATGAAAGCAACAGGAACATTGATACTAAGGCTGCCGAGTCAGTTAGTTGGCGCATACCAACAGAGCCGTTTACACCCTGGGCTGAGGGTTCGAGCTACCGGTACATGTGTCCCAGAACAGAAAACTATGGTGAGGACACCATGCACCCGCGCCCGGGCGAAACCACGAAGCGGCTCAGAAAATTGGATTCCTCGGTGCTACAAGTGCAGCATAGTCTATGTACAGATAAATCGAGAAATCGAAACAGTCTCGGCTACAGAACGGTGAGAACTTGGTGATTTTTCGACCTCGCTACGGTAATATGTAATATGTTCACAACAGAGTGAGTGGTAGAAGACAGAAAATATTCGTGAGAATGCTTGAACGAGATACAGCTAGCTGACCATTCTGTTCTCGCAACATTTCTAATGGACACATGCTCCTCCCCCCAGAGTTCTTCTGCCTCACAGGCAAGGGCGTACTTTCGCAAGATAATATCGCCCTTCTACTCCGTAACACCCCCCTCCCCCCTAGCCGAGTGGGCGACATTTCTTCGTCCCGATCACAAGACTACAGAATCCGGCGACCGCATGACAGAGGTTCGAAGATCTACAGTAAATCTCTCGGCGACAGTGTTCCGACACGGCTTACACCTGACGTACATTACGCACCTGCAATAGAATCAAGTTCCGCTGTCGAAAACAAAGCAAAAAATCCCCACAGGGGCCACGGGGAGGACAAAACATTCTCAAACACAGGCGGCTTTACGACTTGCCTTCTCTTGTCACCAACGAATCCAATCCACCACATGAACAGAAGAGGCTGCATGTCTTGTTCATACCTCCGGTCGCTGTGATGAGCGCTTTCCTCTACCACCCAAAGCCTACACAACACGACTGCACCCAGTGCCTCTGTCCCAAATATAGAGCCAGTTACCCCCCTCCACACCCCCGACCGCAGCTGCAAGAGGAGGTTGGTCCATTCGTAGATGTTTGACTACATCTCGATGCACGGTGGGCCACTGCCAAACGCCACCCGATGCTCCTCCGCGGAAGCGGAGGCGGAGGGCGGAGAGCGGAGAAACAATCACAGCAGCGTATGTGCACTACAAACCACCTCAAGAAAACTTGTTTCGTCCCGACACGTCCAGGAAAATAGTTCCTTTCCTCGAAATGACTGATTCCCTCCAAAAACACACACGCCTTTCTAGAGGTTCAAATTATCTCGAGGTCGAGATACCCACCACAAGTATCTGCGATATATATGCGGCTAGCCGGCGCAACCTCACGAACGACTCCGACTCTAGCACGCTCGGTCACCGCAGCATGTACCTTTTACAGGTTAATCTGCACGACAGGCAACGCCATGGAAGCTTTCCTGCTGCTGAACCTGGAACTGGAACCGAAACTGAAAAGGTGACAACCCCGTGACAAGACGGCTTTTCTGTGGAATCCTACGCCACCCTCACGAGGGCAGAGGGCGGCAGTGCAAACGCATGCAGCACCATTGCGGGAGCGTCTGGGCTTATCTACCGCACGTCGTCTCCTGCCAAATCCAACCATTTGGGTTCGAGAGGCGACAGCTTTGGATGTCTATCGCATCTTCCTCGAGTCCGAGGCAGACGACGAACGCGCCGACGGTCTTGACGATCTCGGCGGTGTGTCCTTGATGGTGCGGTCCGGCTTCTCTCGCACGTCCTTGTCGTTCCACGCGTACAGTCCCGCCGCCGCAAGCAGTAAGGCCATGACCCGGGCCAGGTAACGCACAACCGTCCCGTTCTCCCAGACATCGTCGCTATCCACGGCCTTGAGTTTTGGCAAGAACAGGCAGCGTGGCGCGCGCGGGTGAGGGGGGCGGCACGGCCCGTGCACCAGCATGAGTAGTGATAGTAGCAGCCGGGAAACCGAATGACAAAAGAAACCGGCATTGAAACGACGAAATATATGTAAAACTATTTGTTTCACGCTGAGTGAAAACAGCTGCGTGTCTAGCGCCCAATCGTCCCGTTCTCCGCACTATCCTCACGACGTTAGTGTGACATGGTTTGAATTTGCGAGCAGGGAGCGTCCAAGGGTTTGCGTTTCGAACAAAGTATTGGGTCAATGGCAGGGCTACTCTACACACAATCTACGTATCCTCTTGATCGACCATTGCATAAACAATGGTGTTGCCCTCACCTTAGGCCTCTTGGCTGGGGCGGGTTTGTATGCGTCCGGAAACGACTCCCTCAACAGCTTGTCGGTGATCTCCTCTACCCGCTTCAGCATGGCAAGCTCGTCGGCGTCTTCCTGCGAGCAAGAGAACAACGCCGACAAAACCAGTTTGTGTGTCGTCACCGAGAGTCGACGCTTGCAACCACCACGCACCATGAACAAATCACAAACTGTAACAAGAAATCAATAAATCACAAGAGTCTTGCCCACGTTGCTTGATCATCTTCGCAGGCGTTGGCTTGTATGTAGAGTCGCATAGACTTAACTAACATCATGTCGGGAGCCTGAGACGCAAGAGTTCAACCATTCTTGCACCCTAAAAGCAAGACATTTTTTCGGTGCATCAGTTCGCGGTCGCCTTGAGACTTTTTTTTCGCCGGCGGTTGCCCGCTGCAGCGGGCCAGTCTCTGGATCACAGCGCCCCTGTCGCGAGCTCGAAACTCCAAAGGCGAGTAGAGTTCAGCACGGTGAATGCACGCAACCACTATTTCAGTCATTGAGCTAGACTTTGCGTTGTGGTAAATCGGTTTTAATTGTTTTGATACGGGGTTTAAACTTTTTTTTCGGCCGTCTTCAACGACGTGGGCGTGCCACTCTCACGATCACAGCGCCCCTGTCGCGGGCTCGAGACTCCAAGGGCGAGCCGAGTTACAGCACCGTGAAGTACGACCAAATCTCCTGCATCCGGGCGCGTCAACGGTAGGGACTTTCACCTCAAAGAATCACGAAGCTCATTGGACGAGATTTTGGAGAACGTCAACTCATAAACCATGACCGACCACCACGTTGTTACATGTAGCTCCGACGGCGGATTTTATTGTAATTGTGCCGCGTGGTGTCAACTAGATATCGACAGATTGCTGTCGTCACCTTCCCTAGCGTAAGCAACGCCAACTGCAGAAATTACTTCGAAGTCCTCACGTGCATCGTGCATCTCCACGTACGTGCACACGGCAACGAATATATGCCTGAAATACACACACACTCCAAGTGGCAAGTACAGGTCTACTGCTGCTGTAGGAAGGAATTGAACACGGTTTGTTAATTTTTTTTGTTGTGGTACGCCAAAGCTGGCTTGTGCTTTGAGTTTTCGAACAGGCATGTATGCACACCTCACGGAAAACTGCAAGCAAGGAAGTAAGTTTGTTTGTCTTCTGTAATGCTGTCAACGACGCTGTACAGTAGTATTGAAGATGATGCCGTAGCCTATACACTCTACCGTATACAGGTGAACGGTAGAGAGTTTACGTACTTCGTTTGTTGTGCGGTGTGCCACTACAAGTACGTACAAGTACATTATATCCCTGCCTGTCTTTCTCTCACAGGTGAACGGTAGATATAGTAAATAGATCAAGTTTTAGTCGTATGGTACGCACATTTCGTGGATACCACAAGCATTTAGTGGAATATTTCCTGCAAGTTAGTCAGAAGTTAGTCGGTATAAAGCGTGAAAGCGTGACCTTTTCGTGGAATTCTTAGTTGGTCTGCATAGATTTTTTTCTTCTTAGTTGGTCTGCATAAAATATAGTCTGAGGCAAAAGGTTGCAATCCTACAGGTAGGTCTGTTGCTGCATGCATAGGAAGGAATTTGGACAGGGTTTGTCTCTTTATTGCTATTTAGTCTGTTGTTGTTGTTGTACGCCACAGCTCTTTTTTTATGTAAAGTAATTTCGCGTGTGCCTTGAGTTTTCGAACATCACATGCATTGCATGCACATCGTGAACTGCAAGTTTGTTTTCGTCTTCCTCTCTCTGCAATACTGTCAACGACACGCTGTAGTATTTTGAAGGTGCTGTTGTAGCCTCTACACTACAGTACCATATACAGGTGAGCATCTTTTCCAGCTTCGTGCCCTTGGTATGCTGTGCACAGTCTTAGTCTTCACCGACCACCCTTTTTTCCTTTCAGCGTAATACTAAGCTAAGGCGAGGGCGCCTGGCGCCCGAGCCTGAAGACCTTATATGCATAACACCATGGACGGCTTACATACTGGACTGCAAAAAGGAGATGTCGCTGTGTGGTGTTCGGGAAATCGTAGACACACAGATAGCCCTGCGCTGACGCTATGGATTCATTGCTAATCTATCTTAGACTTTCTTCTGTAGATAGAGATGGATTAATTGTGTCATAGTAAGAAGAAAAAATAAATAAATAAAATAACAGGACATGGGATTCAACCTTGTGAGTGCTGGTTGTGGCGGTTTCATTCTCTACCGACCAAAACCGAACTCCTCACAACGCGGCGGGGGAATAGAAGTCGACGAGAGAGAAAAGAACAAACCGATATGGGTGCGGTGCGCCAATGAGTTTTCGTTGCTCATAGGTGGGGGAAACGAGACGTACCTTATGGTGGCTGCACGTATTAGTAGGTGTTTGGTACGCCAGGTTTCTGAGCATTTGCCCAACTACATACGTTGGTACGAATCTCCAGCCGAAGCTAGCACGTCCTTTTATGCTGTACCTCTCGGCACCAAAATCGCACGCTCCCCCAAGATACAGCAGCCAACATGTCAACAGGCAGAGTCACACTCCGCAGTTCCACAAAAACCATCGCGGATTCACGGAATACCTCGCCCAAATCTATCAAAAGCCACTTGGAGAGCGGAGGACAATAAAAGGGGTGAAATCAGAGCGTGCGCGCGTGTCACGCGCACAAGACACCAGCAAGACTCACGCCACCAAGCTCCCTACCGCAGTACGCACCCCCATCTCCTGGACAGCAGCCTTGTAGGCCCGCATCTTAGCGAGCTCCTTGTCTCGGGTGCTCACGGTTGCGGCCATGGGCTCCTGGTCACCCTGCCTGGCCATCGTCCTCTTCCTCCCGAACCTGCAGAGAGGAGGAAACAGCGAGTTTATTCAGTCTGTGCAAGCGAAACCAGTGGCAGTTGACTGGACTTTCGCTCCAGAAGAAACAAAACAACCATCGCGGGGGGGAAGGGACGGTGAACGCAACCAACCGAGAACGATCGTGATCCCGTTGGCAGGTAAAGTCGCACGTCGGGAACAGCAGCGCAAGAGCTCGGTGCCCCTACCGCTGTACAAAGACGAGCAGAGGGCGACAGAAGGGGTGGCTTGGTTTTCGGTGAATTCCCTTTGCTCACTCTTCCCTCGCGCTGGCTGCCGTGATACATCTGGAGAAGGAGCCACTTTCCCGCCTCCCGACAGAAGGGGGAGGGGGGGGGGTTCATCCATCAGGATCAACCGCACCACCGGCTGGCCAAGGGGTCAGTTTCAAAGCGAGGGGAACGAAAAAAATCGAGAAGGTGCATTATTTTCGTCCGCGGGGCCCCTCGACAGGAGGGCCGAGAAGAAGAGTGGACGGCGACGCCCAGTTTCCGGATTGATTCAGAGTTCTTGGAACAGGTAACCCGATCGCGCCAACCGGCTCGCGAACGGAAAGACGCTCAAAAGTAAAACGCTTGCAATCGGCTACCCGGACAGGGGGGGGTCGTGCGTGTGCGAATGACCTGTACATATGAGTTCTGGCGTGCGAGTGTTCGCATACTCCCCCCCCCCCGCCCCCGTCCTGTGTTGATTCAATACCCCCATTTGTCTGCTACCCTTGAAAACACTTGACTACCGTTGTGTAGTATCTGGTAGTGGACAAGCAGTCAGACATGCGCGCCGGTAACGCTCAACGAAATGATACAGGTTTAGAGAAGTCGCATTCATACAAAACATGGGTCGTGTTTTTCTCGTTGCACAGGCAACGTCGTGAGTTCGGCTGAAAGTGTGCTCGGATTTCCCACCCATTGACGGACACGTGTACTGCTGTAGAAGAAGAGAGAGAACGATGGGAAAGACACATGATGTATGTGGTAGGACTTCGCAGCGCTCCCAGTGTGTGCATGTGTGTGCATGCACGTGAGCGTTCGTTCTCGTCCCCCATCTACTCTGGCGCCGGTCCGCATCTTTCGGTATACGTTTGACGCGCCAACCTGGGTCATACGAGTACAACCAAAAATCATCGGTGACAAACCTCGGTTCACCAACGTATGTATGCATACATGAATCCCTCGAAAACTGAACATTCCTGGTTTCTTCGCCAAGGTCGTTGTATTGTAGCCCTTGCCAAGGACTCAAATTCTGTGTCGGTAAATTGGTTTGTTTGTAACCCACGCGGTGAAACAGCTGCTCTGCTTTTGAGACACGGGGAGGTTCCTGTAAATGCAACTGGTTTTAGTAAGAGTTGGGGGTGCGTCTGTACAGCAGTACATGTGACCTGAATTTAATAGCTACAACTGCCTCGACTACTTTGCTGTGTGGTTTGCTTGAAGCCCTTGATGCGACACGTTTGCACTGGATCTGTGACTTCGGACGTATTGCTCTATACTTGTCGATTTTCAACAGACGCATGTTGATGGTCGCCGGCTACATGTACGCTCCTACGCGGAGTGTGTGGGTGTGTGCGTCAAGCGTCAAGCGTGAAAACAACGGGAACGAAATCGGAAGCATTTCCAGTTCCGCCGCATCGGTGGGGCGAATTTTCGAAATTATCAGCTTTGCTTCTGTATCGCATTCGGTTCGGACGACATTAGGCCCAGGAGTCAAGGCCGTCCCGAGATCTCTAGCGTTCAGCGGGTAGTTTCTGCATGACACTATTGTACATGAATTCGACCGGGCAGGGGGGACATTTGTTCCAATAAGGACCGTCCGTCCTCGGTCGAGCTCGCTGGCAAGGCAATGGCAAATATGGTGTGGCAAACACATACAACAGGGGTGATGCTCCCTGTATTTCACCGTTGGCCTGTGCACACCCAAACTCACAGGCGATGAGGCGGTAGGGAGGTACTGGCGTGATCGTACGGCAGTGTCGTGGCCCACAGGTACGGCGGGGGCGAATACATGCATTTCATATCTGGGTGTCGCGGTTACATAGCTCCTCTCTCACGATAGGCTTCAGTGAGAGAGGACGGCGCTTTCGGGTTCTTTCGTCTCCCTCTGCCTCACACGCTACCCACCGGCTTCAGAGAGAGAGAGACGGCTGTAAGACATCACGGGGTGTGTCGTAACCATGCAGTCTTCCCCTTGAAGGGGGCAGCAGGGCGTGGAGATTATGCGTGGGAACGTTATACAGAACCAGACGAAATTGAACCACGGCAGGCAGGTGATTTGCCGCGTGAACCGTTCACCGTGATGCAAATTCCATCCGTCTTCCGTCGAAAGCGCCACTTACCCCTTAGCACATGATGGACACACAAGGGCAATAGCGATGAGGGCAGCCAGAAGCAGCGTGTAGGACTTCATGATGGCTTCCTCCAATAGTCAAGCAGGTGTAGTTGTGGGTAACAATGATGTAGCCAGCGGAGTCGGCGCGTTCCGGGGGCTCCGCAAGCTGGAAACGGGCAGTAGGTAAACGTAGCGTCGATGCTGTCGATGCTTCGCTTGCTCGTCAGGCCGACACTCACGGCAGACCATGGCCTCGCTGAACCCTCCCATCGCTGATGATCTGTCACAGCTGGCGCTCCCGAGACATGCAGTCATCGTGGGCTTCTCCGCAGGGTCCGGTGGCCGCGAAGTGCTCTTAGCTCGACGAGATGGAATGCACCTAGATGTGAGCTAGATGTGAGCTGATTGTTCAGTTTACATCGCCTTGGCGAAACCTCTCGCCGTCTTGTACTCATCGCGACCGCGAGTTCTTCTTCTCAGGCACCAAACGCAAGGTGCTGCCCTAGGAAAGCGAATACTACAGTCAATCGAGGTTATTTTGACCCTTGCTTTGGGATGGCACCTGGGACCCTGAGCGTGCGCAGAAGTTGAAGTTGATGTCTTTTGAAAATGTGAAATGTGAACCAAGTTCCCCCGCAGGCCCACTACTCTCCGCGTGTTGATCTCCGGGCTTGATTATGGCTTCGCAAGAGTTTGTACACTTGCTCCACCACCACTCTGTATGTAGCATGCTAGGGTGGCTGACCCGCTGTTCGGTTCGTGGTGTACCGCGGTATTATTCCAGCCAGGCCAACGCCTCCATCATTGATATTGATAATTCAGCAAGCTGTGGACGGAACCACCGAGAGAGCAGTGGCAGGCAGTGGTCCTACACTGCTTTAGTGGGGACACTGCGTTGCCAACAGCCCCCATCTTGTCGGTGTCGAAAATCCCCTCTGCTGAGCACTGACACCAAATTTGATCGTCAAGAAAGTCTGCTTTCTTTCTTCACAAGAAGTCCCTCATCGCTCTGTTTCATGTCTCGGGCGTTGCTCGGATGCTTGCCTGCTCGCTTTGCTGCGTCGTGCAACAATGCGAAAGCTGACCGTCCCAACCGTGGGGCGCTTCCGGACAACCGGAGATGCCTTCCTCACAACCGACAGGGTCGTGTTCTGCGCCCGCAAACCGCACGGATCTCAGAATGGTGGGAGACGGGGTGCTTCCTGCTCTTCTCTGTTTTGATGGCCAGCCATCTCCGTCAAGGGCGGCGGCAGTACTGCTGGTGTTGTTTGGTGTTTTCTCTCAGTAGCCTTCGCAGGGCTTAAACATTTTGGATATACTGTAGCATACAAGTAAAATCGGGGGAGTTCGGTAAGGGTTAGGGATAGGAATAGGGTCTACGTACTCCCTCCCTGTTCTATTCCTCGTAAACTAGTTTTTGGCTAAGGCGGTCCTGTTTTCTTGGCCGCCTTGTGTGAGACTAACGGCTATTGATAGCATGGCATCCAGTCCAGGAAAGCACACGGACGAAACCGTGCTGCTCAAGGTGTGGGCCAAATATTGTCGATCATCATGGCCGGACGGCGCGGCAGCTGCGCCCGCCGCGCTCGCGTTAGCACCCAACGTCTTCGTGTTTCGCACCCGAAAGCAGGCAAAGGTGCCGCGACGCGGTCGAGTTCTACTCGTCACGACAGGCCTACCCGTGACCCTCGAACGGTATGTTTATCTCTGGAGGTACAATATCGGTACTAGACAGAGGTCGGCACCGTTTTCGAATACCAACACGCCACAACAACTGCTGCTGCTGCTGCTGCTGCTGCTGCTGCTGCTGCTGCTGCTGTTCTGGCCGTTGCTCGAGCAGGCATGCTCTTCAAGGGCTTCGACATCCCTCTCCAGGTGCTCAGCGGCGAGAAGTTCGAGCAACCCATCCTCTTCGGCGCGAATAACCTCTCCGGAGTCGTCGAGACGAACGTCGCCTACGCAGGTATCAAACGCCTGTGCAGTGAGTGCAGTTCCTTGCATTCCACCAAAACACGCTATATTTTTGCGTAGGGGGGGGCGTAAGGACTACCCCCCCGACACTACCCCAAGCAGGCGCGTCGGTTTGACATGCACAACGTCCTATCGCACAAATTTCGAGCGGCAAGTAGCCGGGTGGCACGGGCACCAATCGCGGCTACGGTGAGAAGTCTGCTTATCCCACCCGCGACAAGAGAGTTCCGAAGGTGTCCCCGAGATCCCTCCGAGTCCTGAATCACACAACCCTACCCTCCTGAAGCCCTTTTATCCACACCCCGTGCCCCCACCCCTAGCCCAAGCCTTGGGAACATCAAAACAAGTATTCTAGACATTGTGGTGTAGGGTAGGTTGGGTTTGGATTAGGATTCCAGACCTCTCGCTCAGCCTATGGCGTACTCTGATTCCGTTAAGAGTATGTTGGAGCAGTGCTCTCTGTTCACCATCGCGGGCTTTTCTTGGCAACCAAACCCCGCGACGACGTCGTATCTACCTTCCTTCCGCCGTATTAGCTCGGCGAAGGACCCATCCCGTGTGTAAATCGCGGGGCCTCTCAGGGGTGTTCTTGCAACTCGATTTCACTTCTACGCAGTTGTCCGCGTCCAATGCCGTCGACACCGGATACCCCGAGGCCATTCCCTTCTCTAGTTCCCATCTGGGGCCACGCCGAACCCCTTGGGAGAAAGCTTTTTTCTCGTCCCTCTCCCCCAGCCCACCGATCAGGGCTTCTTCTCCCGCAACGCCTACATAAACGCAACCTGTCCGCTGGCAATGATAACAACGCTGGTGTTCGTGGCTTTGTGTGTGGCGGGGTGCTGTTCCCTTCCCTGCAGGTAGCACGACGGGGGCGACGGCACCTGGCTTTCACGCCACGGCAACGCCCGTCATCAACTCTAGCTGGCGGTTATCTTTCAGGTGTGTTGCGGTGCGTGTGTAGAACGCGCTCTCTCGCTCTCAGGAGCCCGGGGCGTAGATGCAACCGCTTGTTTGGGAGGCTTGTTTGGTTCCTCCACCGCAAGATGATGGGTGAGGAAGCAGTGCCGGCAACGATTAAAAGAAGAGCGAAACGCCTACGGGAAAGACGTTTCCGGGCAGTGACGTGTCGAACACGCCTCCTTGTGCAAGGGAGATAGTTGTGGTAATTGTCATCCGCTGTTTTCTTCAGCACTTTTTCCGCAGCGTAGAACAAAAACCCGCCGAAATGCCTCCCTCTCGGGATGTTGGTCTTCATGAGACCATATGCTGCGCCGTGGAAGGCGCCAAAGACATGGATGTCACATGACCGGAGGCTGACCGATACAAACAAAAGTCTTCACGGTGGAGGTCACCAGCTGGCCAACAGATTTGACTAGATCTCTTCTCCCTGTGCTGCCGGCCGCTTCCGCTGGTTCCTGTGCTTGTGTTTTTCTCCCTTGGATCGCGCTTAGGAATGGTGGTTTCGGCACCTTCCTGCATGCTTTCTACTCGGCCCTCCAGCGACGGCGCTCGGTCGACCCGTCGGTTACAGCGGTGACCTTCGCCGGGTCTGAGGACGAGTGGGCTTCCCTCCAGGTGTGGAATTGCATCGCATCGTAAAGAGAGGAGACGCTTTCAGTTGTTTGTTCTGAAAGTGAGCACCTGATAGACGTTTTTCGTACTAGTGGTCGACACTGGTGCCGCTTTAATCTGATTGGCCTAGAATCCTCTTGTGTACCACATGCGGCATGCAGCTCCTACTCGCTTACTTAGTTCCACCGGAGGGCATGCTGCTGCCAGCTTTACGTCAGATACCAACTCTCTATCACTGTCCGTTTCATGGCTCTATTTCAGTCGCAACGGTAGGGATCTCTCAAACCTTTCGGTGTCCTGTGTGTGTACGCGTTTATTGTTGCCCGCGCGACGCGCTCATTGGGAAAATTATGGAGGAGCTGTGCTGGCCGATGCGATTCAGGCCTAACTAGTCTAGAGGTTGACTAACGAACAAATGAATCAAACAGTTTTTCAGGTTACTATTTTTTTGCTATCGATTGTTTTTTTGGATGACCCATCTGCCCAACTGGTAAGTCATCTTGAACACCCGTATTTGTTTTTGCTCTGTACGACTACTGCTGTGCCAACAACCAGGCGACGGAAGTGGCCCAAGCGGTAGCTTTGGATCCCACGGATGGTACGGTGTTGCTGACGGCGGCTCCCGTGGCGGCATCCGCTCCGCCTAGACCGTACGGCGACTTGTGAGGTTTCCGCACACCGCCTCTGTTGAACTCGCTGCTGTTGCTGCTGCACTTTGGTCGACGTCTTGCTGACGCCACCGCTTCCTCCGCTGTCAACCTTACGGCGACTCCTGAGGTTTTCGTACGAACGCTCTGCTGAGGTTGGTGCTGGTGCTGGTGCTGGTGCTGCCACCCCACTCTGGGCGACGCCTCGCTAGCAGGCTTCGCAGCATTGGGCAATGCAAGTAGTGCTGATGCTGATGCTGCTGCTGCTGCTGCTGCTGCTACTGCTGCTACTGCTACTACTGCCCAACTTGACCAGGGCGAACCTAGTAGATGAGAGTATGGTAGGTAGAACGCAACTCAAGTGCTGTCCCATGTCCGTGACCCTTTTCCTAGGCTCCAGTTTGGTGTTTCTGGCATGGTGCCTTTCCCGCCTTCCTTGTCTTGACGAGAGTGCCTTGAACAGCACCACCAGAACATGGGGCAAGAGGACCCCCCCTACCAGTAAATATGACCAGCCTTGCGGCGTCACTGAGGGACTTCGTCGCACGGCCTTGTGTGCTCTTCGAAGGTCAAGGCGATTGGTTCTCCAGTATCATTGAAGCGTTTGTGTTATTGGAAGCCTTGACTTCAGAATTGCGATCAAGGCCGATATCTGTCTACCAGAAGACAGATGTGCTGGCAGGGTTTGACCACCTCCAAGGCTATGGGATGTAGCATATGGATGTATGAATGTAGCGTTGACGAAGCGCGTTGCATACGCAACGCTGCTGTGCTGTTTACACAGGCGACGGTGCTGCCGCGTGGTAGTAGTCACTTTGACACCGGGCCGAAGCGCGTGTTCCTTGCCTTCGCATAAAAACAGCACGTATGGTGCGGAGTCTGGCTGCAACTTTCTGTCGAACTGTTTGGTCTAGTGTCCTTGCCGCGAAACTCCATTCACGACACGGTTGCGTGCCTGTTTGCGTGTAATATTTCCGGGAGTGAGTGAGTGTGCTGCTGCCCGCGATCCTGCCTGCACAGATGTAGTTATTGGCGGTCGCATCGACGGGTGTTGGCTACGGCAACGCCTCAGTGTGCGCACTTTGGTGTGGTGTTTTGTGATAGCAACTCTCGACGAAGTATCATCGTCATCGTTGGCTGTCTGAAGCTTAAGCCTCTTAACAGTTTTTCAGCGGGAAACGTTGATAGTGCAGACAGCCACTCGCTCGGATCACCCTGAGCAGGGCATCGCTGTCCCGCAAGGTGGTGAGGTACGGTACCTGTTTGGGAGGATTGTTATTAAAAGGAGACCGTGAGCTACGGTTTTTTATCATCTTCACGCAACCGACCTCAGCAACGACGGTCTCAACGCTGCTCGATCGCAGCGAGATACTCTTCGGTTTTGGGGGCTTGTTCGGCCGAAAATCCGACCGGGGGGGAGATCGTGAATGTCTTGTCACCCATGGCCCTCAAGCCCTTTCTTGAGAATGACTCCGGGTAGTCGACGGGTCTGGCCTGCTACGTATGTGCTGCTGCTGCTGCTGCTGCTGTTGAAGCTCCGATCTACGAAACGCATGAGGTTCTCCAAAGAGGCACACGCATCGTTGTGATGGCCGTCTTCGCTCCCCCTACAGAGGGAGAGTGTCGCCATGGGGGGCGAACCTCAAATAAACCATACCATCATTTTATCACTATTTGTTCCATTCCGTACCGTGTTTTCCCGGAATCTCCGAAAAAAACCGCGGACGAACGTCTTCATTCCCTCTGTGTGAAGCGCAGACAACAGCCAGTGCGTTCACGTCAACGCCGTGTCCATGCGTTACTTCGCCCTTGGCAACTCTTGACCAAAAATCAAACACCGTAAAGGTCAACCACCAAGGAGCGACCGGCGTGAGTGCCACAACAACGACCGCAAACAAGCCTCGTAATACAAGAAAAAAAAAACGGCACATCCTTCATGCAACACAACCAAATGACAGGCCACGTCATCGTATCGAACGCAGAGCAGTCCTCTGATACTTATATAGGTGAGATTACGCAATGTTTACCGTCAATGTGATGGGGATACACGTACCACACAGGTTAACCCCGCCCCCTTAATCTAACGGGAGGAGGCCAGAGCTGGAGGTGAGAGCTCGTCTCACCTGACACATCCACTTGCGTACGTACGCGCAACACGTGCAAGACGCACCTTCGTTGAGCACTACAAAAAATAACTCATGTCGAGCACCATCAGCATCGGATACCACCCTCCTGCCGGAAGACATGAGTGGGGTGAAACCAATCTTTTCGAGGACACGCCGCCAAATCCAACCACTAACTCCCCCGCTCTTCCTGCGGGTCCCGGCTGTAGCAGTACCAGATGTACCCACGAACCGCCGACATCCCTTCCGTCCCTCCCGCCGGAAAACACCACATCTTGGACCCGTCCCACATTTTGATGGCACACCCCACTGGACAACATACTTCATCAAACACCACCACATAGGCCCCAACTAACACCACACCCCTCCGGCAAACGTGCAAATTCGTTGCCCCACGTTGCATGCATACAAAAAACACGAAAAGACCAAACGAGTGCGCGCGCGGGCGTTGCGCTCGCCGCTCTTGTCTTCCCCCGACATTTCTCTTGCGTGTTGCATGAGACTTGAAAAAAACGACACACAAGACTTACGAAATCAAATACTTGAACAAAAACACTGCTGTCTTATGCATACCCTTACACAACTTACATGACAGGAATCCCGGACAATTAATACGTTTGCGTACCCGTAGCAGCTATTTGGATTGGGCGGGCTGTCGACTGCCGACAGCGGGAAAGGCCGCGGTGGAAACAATGGAGCTCCACGTGTAGTAAGGGTCGCTTCGCTCACTCTCTGGAGCAAAGCAGGCCCTCACGATGAGGCCCCTCACCGAGCACCCTAACCTACAGTACATCCAAGACACACTCACTATTCCTACAGCAAGACGGCCTCGCTTCCCTACCCACTCTCCCGGCAATGAATCGCGCGGGGGGCGGGGCGGGGGGCGTACTCTTATGTTTTGCACGCCATAGCGGTTAGACCATTGACCACGCGTCCTCGAGAGGACGGAGCATTGTTCCCACAGGACCGATCACCGATGGCCAATCGTTCCTTCCTACTTTGGCGGGGGGTGGGGGCTTCTACTTCTGAATCAAGCATACGGTAACGAAAGACTCGGCCTTGCGTCGCTGCAACGACGGGACGGAGCGACATGCAGGGTTTTGGCCGGCCCAGGCCCAAGCCTTGCTAGATATACAGGCGTTCTGGCCGACCGCCACCCCTATGTCCAAACCTGACACCCATCATCGATCTTTTCACACTGCAGCCTCCGACACGAGGCGGGCTACCAGTTCGAGTAACAACAACTCACCACACAAACAACCACGAGAGCATTTTCATCAAACTTTTCACCGACTCCCAACCGTAACGAATCATCTATAGCGACCCCCCCCCCCCCCCCCCCCCC